AGGCTCCACGCGGAATTACATAAGTCGCGACTGTTTGGAAAGGCTGCACCTACAGGACCGGGTACGACACCTTAGTAGACTAGTAGCATCTACTTCGGCCCTGTCTCTTATACACATCTAGATGTGTATAAGAGACAGGGGCAGGACAACCTGGATGTCCCTCATCTCTGCATCCGTGGATGTAAGTTGCCTTGGGCACTGGGCCCGAAATTTGAAGTTGGTTAGAAAAAAGAAAAGGAAAAAAAAAGGTGCCGAGTCTAGTCATTGACTCTAATGAGTAGTAATGACAATTATTAATTTAATATTGAATTATTAATCAATGGCTGAAGACTACCCCCACCACCTCTCATTCGATCACCCCGACAATTACAGCTGCATGCCATATCACAGACAGCCAACGGCCCAACACTACGATTTCTTTTTTTTTTTTTTTTTTTTCTTTCTTTTTTTTTTAAACTCTGTGATCTTTTACTAAATTTTGTTTTTTAAAAATTCTGACAATCTTCCGCCTCAACTCATGTGACCTGGACGGCCCGGTTGGGAACACAGGACCCAATAGACTCAAAAAAAATAAAAATAAAAAAATCCCTTTCCAGAGAAAGGAGCTTTTGGTCACCCTTCGATTGGGGGGAGGTATAGCCTCCTTTTCATGAAAGGCCAATCAGTGGAAATGCATCGAGTCTATTCGTGGGGAGTGGCACACGCTTGAAACCGGGGCAATCGTCCCAAAGATGCCGCCGATGCCGCCGCCGCCGCCGCCGCCGCCGCCGCCGCCGCCGCCGCCGCCGCCGCCGCCGACGACGCCGCCGCCGCCGCCGCCGACGAAGAAGAAGAAGAAGAAGAAGAAGAAGAAGAAGAAGAAGAAGAAGAAGAAAAGCGTCAAACGTGAAGCTAACAACGGTAAAAAAAAAAAAAAAAGAAAGGGAAAAAAAAGAAAAAGAAGTGTCCAACGGTGTCCTTCAGGACATCCGTTAAAATTGGAACAACAATACAGAGAAGATTAGCATGGCCCCTGCGCAAGTTTTTCTTCTTCTTTTTTTTGTTCTTTTTTTTGTTCTTTTTTTTGTTCTTTTTTTTGTTCTTTTTTTTGTTTTTTTTTTTGTTCTTTTTTTTGTTCTTTTTTTTGTTCTTTTTTTTGTTCTTTTTTTAAGGGAAGTGTGAGGATTGAGCCCTCAAGTAGGGGCCTTGCCATGATGTACATGTTCTGGGCTAAGGCCCTAGCAAGCCTCGTGCCCGCCCCTCTCGGATTTCAGCAAATGCTGAAAATGCCCAGGGCCTCTGAGTTAGGCCCTGGGCACTCGAATGTGAGGCCGACAATGCATGCTGGGTATAGAGGCCGGAAATGCCAAAGGGAAATCGGCCCACTGTCTGAATCTGGCCGCAGGCCTTGATGAAGGAGGCGCAACTGCATTGCCCCGAGGCCCAACTATATCGGGCTGGGTTCAGCCTCTGGGTCCCGGTCACAGGCTGAAGGGAGGCCGCCCACACGCTGCACTGGCATATAGGCAAGCAGGGCGAGTGGGCAGGGATCTTGGCCAATGCTGGCATTGCGGGCACGCTGCGCGGATGCATGTGTGCTGCGCTGTGCAGAGCTGCGCTGCGCTAAGGTCAAGCAGGCTAGCGCTAGGCGGTAGGGCGCTGCCTGCATGCAGGGCAMTGGCGGCCATAGCCGGGCYGCATGAGGGTGCAGTKAGGGTGAAGGGCGAAGGTGGTCTTCGGAGGTGAAGGGCGCTGTGTGGGTAACAAGGAAGAGTGTGGGGAAGAGGACACGTACCTGGTGGAGGTGGAGGTCGGCATTGGTGTTGACATCATCACTCGCTGGTAGTCAAGTTGTCTGGTTGCTTTCATAGCTGTAGTTGTAGGCTAGGCTGTAGAGTAGGTAGGGCGCCTGGCGCCATTCAAGAGAGAGAGCTACATTGGGTTATGCTGTTGGTCTGGCCCTATTGGGCTTGGACATTGACTCACGATTCTTCTGTATCGTTCTCAAATGGATGGTCACTCGGTTCCATTGTGCTATCTGCTCTTGCTTTGCCTACTTGGACTTCAGTGTGATTTTGCAATCTGGATTTCTGTGCTTTGTCCATATTCATGTTCCTTGCAATTTGGTATCGGAGCTGGTTTGATCGCCACTTACCTTCGGCATGCTGGCGTTATACAGACTTGGTGCGTTGACGATGCTTCTTCGCAGTGGGTACTTGTGACGTCAGGCCACGTTAGGTGCACGCCCTGGGTAGAGAGGGGTGCACCAGAAGGCTATTACGGCAGTGTATGCCGTGGGATACAGCAGAATGTTTGATTGATGATGAGAGCATGCTGATGTCGCATTGGACTAAGGTGGCACTGCATTGCGTTGTGGGTGGTACCAAGGTCATGACCGGTCATCAAATGCAACATCAGCTCAATTGGTGAGAAAATCTGTGGYTGGGGGCAGCTATCWYCAGGTATGTTGATCCCTTACCTTATCTACCTTCTCAATCTCTTCTTACCGTGAGGAAGTGAGTCCAACTTGAGAGTCCTCTCCTTGGTGAGGTGTCGTGAGCGCGCTACCTTGAAAGACGACAATCTTCCCGGAAGCATCTGGAAGGAGAAAGGGCGGTGCCTCTGAAGGGCCCTGGTCGAAGCACTGGGTCACGGTCACCATGCCAACCCACAGGGAGTAGTGCACGCATGCGATGGCTGCTGTCCTGTTTGGCACTTGCTGCGCTCAGATAGAAGTCTTGCCAAGTGTGCCAGCCTTGTATGAGACGCTTACCAGACCGTCTATAAACATTTCTGGTTGGGTACTCGGTACGATTCTGGCTGTGATCGTCGTCCTGACTGCGACGTTAAAGAATTCCTGAAGAGATGGGGGCGCTCTTAATAATCCTCCTGATCAGCCAGATCATCCGGGTGTAAGGCTCGTTTCCGTACGAGGGTAAATAAGAGTGGGCTGGCTGGCTTACTTGGCTCTGACTTGGGCACAGGGGTGGGCCAATACACGAAAACACTGCTTTGCTCAAGATGCTGTTCGGTATGTTGGATTGAGGGGAGGGTAGGTTCCAATTGGAGCTCAACTGTGTACACAACTATACCCATCAATCATACATCTGCTACATTGTCTTTTTGTACCTTTGATTACTTGGTTGACGGACTGCAAACCTCACAGACAGATTAGTATAGGACTGTTGTATGCTGCCATAGCCAGTTCTAACTAATGCTGTTGTAAGTGAACCAATCAGGGTGCATCTAGACTATGTAGACAATCTGTGTGAATGTTGTAGACATGCCACTTGATTCGGTATAGTAGGGAACTCGCCGGACACAACTATTTATAGAAAACTACGTGCCGGTCAGATACATGCTGCGGTAGGATTCCATTAGGGGATTCTAGTGAAGATACTATCTGCCTAACTAATGAGTGGGTCAGACCCTGTTGATGATAGATTTGACATTAGGAGACTAACACGTGCAGGGGCATTAAGGGTACCGCATGTATTCCAGGCCTTAGATCCGGGAGAAGAAAGACGGCTACGTAGAGCCCGTGCGCTAGCAGCGGGGATAGCAACAGGAAACGCAGCAGCTAGAGAGCAGGCAACAGCAGCCAGAGCAGCAGCGATGGCTAATGGCGCAAGCTCTGCTGCATCATCATCTGCGTCCTCGTCAGGGACTAATGGGGGCCAGTTGGGAATGCCAACGAGTTCCACAAGTTCCTCGGGCACTTCCGGTTCCACAGGTTCCAGACAGTCTTCTAGTCAAATGGCGGGCGCGCAGTTCAGCCCATTGACCCCGCGTCAGAGGGAGCTCAGAGAGATCCAGCAAGTCGAGATGCTCCGCCGTAAGTTAGAGCAGGACCTGAAAGCAGCTACCGATAGAGAAAATGCGATGAAAACTACAGCAGCCAGGCTTGAAACTTTAGAGGCCGACAAGGCTGAATTAGAGGGCTTGGATGAGTCAACATTGACTGACCCGCTGAAAGTATTGAAGAAGAATATGCTGTCATTGCACGCACACGTGGACAACAAATTAGACTTCATGCAGAGCACTCTAGACCAGATCCTGGATGCATTGACAAAGCCAGGATTCCGTCCACCAGCACAATCGTCGTTGCCGTTATCGGCGATGTCAGGCCCCTTTCCAGTTCAAGTTGGTACACAACCAAGTGGTACGTCTGCAGCAGTCTCACAGACTGTTGCATCTTCTTCTTCGGGTCCAGCGGTGGGAGCTACACCACCGCAACAACCTGTTCAACAATCTGGACAGCCGCAGGGTCAATGGTATCCTAAGACCCCAATGAAACCACCTCTTGCCTTCTCAGGCGAGGGAAAGGGCGAAGAACTCGACACTTGGTTGAGAACAGTCCCGGTTTGGGTGAAGGCCAAGAGAACCTTGCTAGAGGACGAAGTGGTAACTGCGGCATCTTACCTGGAGGGTAAGGCAGCCAAGTGGTTAGATGGTGTAGTTATAAAGGCCGGGTATGGGAGATGCATGGCGGACTGGGCTAAGTCTCTGACGTTAGACCACTTCATGGAAATGGTAGAAGCTCGATGGCATAACCCACAGGAGGCTCAAAAGGCCATTGATGCCATTTACAAACTAGACCAACGCAAGTTTAGGTCAGTTAGAGAGCTTACGACTACCGTTGAGAGCCTGATCCTCGTCCCAGGCATCAACTACAACGATCAGTTCCTATTGACTACTTTTGTCAGATGTCTCCCAGAGAACATTAGGAACTTGCTAGCCAGCGAGGCACGCACTGAGTACCACTCGTTTGAGACACTGTCTAGGAAAGCCTTAGACTTGGAGGCCACGCTAGGCAATGCTCAACCCACCTCAGGGAATGACTCAAAGAAGAAGAAGAGTCCTCAGGAGTGGAAGAAGAAGGGGGCGAAGTTGATGATGGTTGAGTCTGATGGGACTCAAACTGAGATCGATGAGCTCTCTGACCTGATGGACTCCTCAGAGTATGACGGCGAGGAGGTAGCTGAGGGTAGCACCCTCGCCACGGTAGTTAAGACTAAGGCGGCAGGCCGAGGGAAGGGCCAGCCTAGGGGTCAAGGGAAGACCGCCTCCAATCAGACTAAGCATGGTGAGTGGGTTAAGGCAGGTCTTGAACAAGACGTATGGCCTAACCGCCGAACGTGTGGCGCTTGTATCAACTGCGGGGAATACGGATACTCGCAGTACAAGTGCCAAAACGCTAAGGTTATGCAAAAGGTTGCTCCAAAGATGGGGGCAACCTACTCCCAGGCTTCTAGCTCGGGAAACGCGTAGGGCCAGTGGAAGTATTAGCCACTTCGACTCAAGATGAAATGGGATTGATACCCTCCCCACTTCATGACAAGGCCAAGGCTAATAACCCCTTAGTCACCCCGCAAACACAACTAGACCAAACTATGCTCTGTACGTTAGATGTGTCTGTGAAGCCTTAGAAGACTTAGAGAATGAGTGGTCAAACAAGGACCCTCGTGAGTCTTGGGTGGCACTAAGGAAAGGTCCTAGAGGGGAACATTTCGTGGTGGAGGGCGATGTAGGAGGCCGCAAATGTGGTGCCTTCATAGACATAGGCTCCACGCGGAATTACATAAGTCGCGACTGTTTGGAAAGGCTGCACCTACAGGACCGGGTACGACACCTTAGTAGACTAGTAGCATCTACTTTGGCAACAAGGAGCGCATGATTGTAACAAACTACATCAAGGACGTAGTCTGTACCTTCTCCTATGGAGGAGGTAAGCTTAACCATAAGATCTCGTTCTTGGTTAGCGACGACTTGCCATTTGACATGTTATTAGGCATGTACTACCTCGAAGTTGCTAAGCCCCAGTTCGACTAGGATAAGAAGGTGCTCAAGCATAAGTTGCGCGATGTTCGAACTGTCAGATTGACTAAGTTCAAGGCCAGTAGTACTATAGATACCTATGGCTGCTTGTGCGCATCAGCGTTCTACAATTACTACAAGCAAAACCAAGAGGAGGGTATGTACCTTGTGTATGTCTCTGAGAAAGGGGAGGCCGTTAAAACACCCCCAGACATAGAACGTGTCGTTGCTAAGTTCCCTGATCTGTTCGAGGAGCCCACAGGAGTTGTTGAAAGGGAAGTCGTCCACGCTATAGAAATCATTCCAGGGAGTAAAACCCCAAAGGGAAGGATCTATAGGATGGCCCCCGCCGAGTTAGATGAACTTCGGCGACAGCTTAAGGAGCTGACAAAGAAGGGTTGGATTCGGCCTAGTACTTCCCCTTACGGATCACCCGTTCTATTCGTACCGAAGAAGGGGGGTACTTAAAGGATATGGATTGACTATAGAGGCCTCAATGCCATCACTGTGAAGAACGCAGAGCCTCTACCTCGCATAGACGACCTATTGGATAGGGTGCAGGGATGCAAGTACTGTAGTAAGATAGACTTGAAATCTGGATATCACCAGATCGCAATAAGACCTGAGGACCAACACAAGACAACTTTTCAGACGCGTTATGGTCTGTATGAGTTTGTAGTGATGCCCTTTGGTCTTTGTAATGCGCCAGGTACGTTCCAGCACGCTATGAATCGGATCTTCCATGCCCATTTAGATAAGTTTGTCGTGGTCTACTTAGACGACATTCTGATCTTTAGTAAGTCTGCCGAGGAGCACGCAAAGCATGTTGAGACAGTTCTCTCACTCCTGCGATAGCACAAGTATAAGGTTAACTTAGAGAAGTGTGAGTTCGGTCGCACTAAGATACTATACTTGGGTCATGAAGTATCCGCAAAGGGAATTAGGCCGGAAGATGCGAAGGTGGCTAGTATTCGAGACTGCCCACGACCTCAGACAGTCACTTAGGTCAGGTCATTCTTAGGAATGTGCGAATACTATAGAAACTTCGTTAAGAACTATTCTACAGTCGCCTCTCCTTTGACTGATCTAACTCGACTTGACACACCGTGGGACTGGAGTGATGAGTGCGAGGGTGCTTTCAAGAGATTGAAGCATGCACTCATGAATCATGAGGTCCTCATGGTTCCCGATCCGCAGAAGCCATTTATAGTAACCACTGATGCAAGCCAATACGACATTGGCGCAGTGCTGGCTCAACAGGATGGGAAAAAGTTGAGACCGATTGAGTACATGAGTAAGAAGATGCCATCGAAGAAGTTGGCTAAGTCCACCTACGAAAGGGAACTCTATGCTCTCTATAAGGCACTTGTCCATTGGAGATACTTCCTTTTGGGAAGGTTCTTCTATCTGAGGACTGATCATCAGACCCTCAAATGGATCGACTCGACCGACTCTTTCTGATGCACTCAAGCGATGGACACAGAAAGTGAGTTTGTGATGGTGGACGGGCTACTCTATCTTGATAAGGCCGGAATACAGAGATTGGTAGTTCCATCTAGTGAACAATCGCGTAGTTTATTTTTAGGCGAATGTCATGACGCAACTGGGCACTTTGGCTACAAGAAGACGAGTGCTAACTTAGTACAGCGATTTTGGTGGCCCAAAATGCTAGATGACGCAAAGTAGTATGTGGAGACCTGTCAGGTTCGTCAGCGGGACAAGCCGCGAAATCAAGCACCGCTTGGGTTATTAAAGCCTTTACCTATTCCTGATGGTCCAGGATTGAGTGTTTCCATGGATTTCATGGACACCCTAGTGACCAGCAAGAGTGGTAAGAGGCACATTTTCGTCATCATCGACCGATTCACAAAGTACGCTAGACTAATACCAATGTCGGAGACAGCCAGGACAGAATACGTTATCAAGTTGTTCAAGGACAACTGGGTGCGGGACTTTGGTTTACCAAAGACTATCGTTAGTGATAGAGACGTCCGATTCACAAGTGAGCTATGGAAGAAGCGGAACAAATGGGCAGTCAACTTCAGATGACTTCAGGGAATCATCCCGAAGCCAACGGCCAAGCCGAACAGATGAATAGAGTTGTACAACACTTGCTGAGGCATTACATCAAGCCCAACCAAGATGATTGGGATGAGCAGTTGCCACTCATCGCCAGTTTGTACAACAATGCTGTGCACAACAGCACCGGCGTGAGCCCTAACCAGCTACACTTGGGATGGAAGCCTAGATCCGCGTTAGGCACACTGGAGTATGGTGTGCAGTATGAGAAGTTGCTGCAAGAAGCTGTCGAGCACATGAAGAAAGCTCAACAAGCAATGATTGCTTTTGAGAATCAACACCGTAGACAGTCCACATTTCAGGTAGGGGAACGTGTCTGGGTCAAGGCTAGCGAGCTAGGACAAGAATTCGGAGTCTCTCGCAAACTAATGCCTCAATACTTTGGTCCCTGGGAAGTCCTAGATATAGTGGGAGATGAGATGGATGGTCCCACTTATGTCATTCGTGTCCCTGGACACCTACGCACTCACCCAGTCTTTCATGCCTCAAAGCTTGCACCTTTCCCTGAGACTGATCAATTCCCTTCCAGGAGATTGATACTGCCCCCAACCATGGATGGACAAGTCGACATCGACGACATTGTGGATCACCGGGACATGCCTGTTGCAAAGCCGCTGGGTCGAGGAAGACCTCCTAAACCCAGGAGGGAGTACCGGATCAGATTCAGGCATCATACGGATCCAAAAGAAGATCGGTGGTTTACCCAGGAGGAACTGATGGAAACAGCTCCTCAGGTGGTGGCAGATTATGAACGGAAGCTAAAAGGGAAGGCACCTGCGAAGTAAGCATCTCAGCGGACTTTCGAAGCTAAGGGGGATGGAATGTGAGGATTGAGCCCTCAAGTAGGGGCCTTGCCATGATGTACATGTTCTGGGCTAAGGCCCCAGCAAGCCTCGTGCCCGCCCTAAGTGAAGGCGGGCCAGCAAATCAACAAGAGCCCTCTGTGCCAACATTTCACGAAGTGGGGTCCATACAGTTGTAGCACGCCAGTTGGTTGGAGTGCACCGAGTCTCGGATTTCAGCAAATGCTGAAAATGCCCAGGGCCTCTGAGTTAGTTAGGCCCTGGGCACTCGAATGTGAGGCCGACAATGCATGCTGGGTATAGAGGCCGAAAATGCCAAAGGGAAATCGGCCCACTGTCTGAATCTGGCCGCAGGCCTTGATGAAGGAGGCGCAACTGCATTGCCCCGGGGCCCAACTGTATCGGGCTGGGTTCAGCCTCTGGGTCCCGGTCACAGGCTGAAGGGAGGCCGCCCACACGCTGCACTGGCATATAGGCAAGCAGGGCGAGTGGGCAGGGATCTTGGCCAATGCTGGCATTGCGGGCACGCTGCGCGGATGCATGTGTGCTGCGCTGTGCAGAGCTGCGCTGCGCTAAGGTCAAGCAGGCTAGCGCTAGGCGGTAGGGCGCTGCCTGCATGCAGGGCAATGGCGGCCATAGCCGGGCCGCATGAGGGTGCAGTGAGGGTGAAGGGCGAAGGKGGTCTTCGGAGGTGAAGGGCGCTGCGTGGGTAACAAGGAAGAGTGTGGGGAAGAGGACACGTACCTGGTGGAGGTGGAGGTCGGCATTGGTGTTGACATCATCACTCGCTGGTAGTCAAGTTGTCTGGTTGCTTTCATAGCTGTAGTTGTAGGCTAGGCTGTAGAGTAGGTAGGGCGCCTGGCGCCATTCAAGAGAGAGAGCTACATTGGGTTATGCTGTTGGTGTGGCCCTATTGGGCTTGGACATTGACTCACGATTCTTCTGTATCGTTCTCAAATGGATGGTTACTCGGTTCCATTGTGCTATCTGCTCTTGCTTTGACTTCTTGGACTTCAGTGTGATTTTGCAATCTGGATTTCTGTGCTTCGTCCATATTCATGTTCCTTGCAGAAGAAATTCAAGAAGAGTAGTAATACTAATAATCTCTTTATATTTAGAAGAAATGCACTGCAAAAAAAAATAAAAATCATCGCCCTTTCACATCAGCCACTTCCAAAATGTCTTCTCTTTCCCTTTGCAAGCAGTCCCTCTCAGCTTCTGTCTTGTCACTCTGGACACAACGCTGCTCCGTCACTCTCCAAGCACGATGCGCGCTGGGACCGCCACCTCAAGGCAACTGCAAGTCAATCAAGCCTGAAAACGTCAATGCAGCATAAGCATAAGTGCAACAGCATAGAAGTTAGCGCCGTGAAGAGAGAGCATCACCCTCTCCTCCTGAAGACTCCAGGTAAGCAGAAGTCTCCTCCAGCACCCAGATGACAACCCGAACACTCTCTCCTCTCTCCTCGAACGCTCTCTCCTCGAACGCTCTCTCCTCGAACGCTCTCTCCTCTCTCCTCGCTTGCACTCCCACCCACAGATATGGAGGTAGCACTCCAAAAAACTACAGGCAGCGCCCAGTTGGCTATGCCTGCCTCCCTATCCCTCTAGCACTGCTGGGCGCTATGAAGTCTTCTCTTGCACATTAGGCTCATGAGCTCAGCACCGACTTGCTCCCAAGCAGCGTGAATGCTTGAGCTGAGGCAGAGGCCTGCTTCTGCGGTTTTGACTAGTGTCTTGAGTCTCGACCGCCTGGTCATTGGGCCAGCGGCCTAGCTCAGTTGGCTTCACACGCAAGTGGCATTCAGGAGGTCATGGGTTCACAACTTCACATAAATCGAGAAATGGTCCCCCCCCAAAAAAAAAAGAAAAAAAAAAGAAGTGTCCAACGGTCTCCAACCTGAAAGTAAAAAAAAAAAAATCCAAACCATAATAAAAGGTATGTCAAACCTGAAAGTCAAAAGTCTCAAACTAAGAAAAAAAAAAAAAAAAAAAAAAAAAAAAAATTTTTTTTTTTTTTTTTTTTTTTTTTTGAGAAAGCACCCCCACCAGGACTGTTAATAAACAGACACGAGTTCAAATTTCAAAGTTCAAACGGTACATAGTACATAGTACATTCATCTTACTGATATTGAAAAGACAGCAGTTGAAATCCTGGTACGGAAAAAAAAAAAAAAAGATACGAACTCCTGATGAAATCACACGAATATAAAGAAAAAAGTATAAAAAAAACTCGACACTAGGGACTCCAAGGGTGTCCACCATCTGCCCACTTGCCTGTCTTTCATTGCTATTATTCCTCCTCCTCCTCCTCCTCCTCCTCCTCCTCCTCCATCCTGGTAATTCAACCACTTGTGCAAACACCGTCACCGCCACCGCCACCGCCACTACTAGTCAAGAGAACCCTTAGCAGTCCTCTTTCATCATTTTATTTTTATTTTTAAAAGGAAACCCCACCCCCATGGGGTTCCATGAATAAATCCGATCTTCACAATTAAATTAAAAAAGAGAAAGGATTTCCCTTTCCATCAAAGACAAGCTTAGTCCCAAAAAAAAAGAAAAAAGAAAAAAAAAGACAAGCTTAGAGAACACAGCGAGAGCTATTCTAGCCATGGCCCAGTAAATATAAATAAATAAATAATTAAAATAAATAAATAAATAAAGACGATTGCTATCTCCAACCCTGAACATAGTCTTCCCTAGAAGTTCGCTAGAAGTTCCCTAGAAGTTGCGTAGAAGTTCCCTAGAAGTTCCCTAGAAGTTCAGAGCACCTAGAATCTATGTAGTGACCCCCAGAAGCTCTGGTGGTGTTTCCCTAGAAGACAGTCTTCCCTAGAAGACAGTCATCCCTTAGAAGCTCTGAAGGCTGAGGTGTTCCCCCCCCCCCCAAAAAAAAAAAAAACAGTTGTGGACATTGTCGCTGTAATGTCCAAGCCAGGACCACCTGTCCTGCGAGGTCAGCAGCCATCGTAAACGGTATGCCGGTAGCCCATTAAGAAGTTCCTTCCGCCGCTTGGACATTCTTCTCGCCGATCTTTTTTGAAGTCATTCGTCAATTGTGCGAGAAGATCACAACAAGATTTAGAAACACCGTTGACATTCTTCTCCTCGGCGATCTTCTGCAGTGTTTTTCAATTGCTCGACTTGTCCCGAGTGTTCTTCAAGCTTTCTCGACATCACGTGGAAAAACTGATACAATCGAACAGCCTATTACCACGGGGGCTACCCCTCGAACAGTTACAACCTCCCCACTGGTATATATAGTTCAATCACCAACCATTCTCCTAACAGCACGAGGTTCTCCAGCGGAAGAAAGAAGACGAAAGGGCACTGCAGTATGTCCACAAACTGCAAACTACCTGCAACAAGGCACTTTATACATACCGTGTACTGAATATGACAGCAAAGGCGGTGCCTTTCCAGTCATTGGTCAAGAGTTTCACCTTTGAACACTGCAGTATGTCCTCCCCACTGGTATATAGTTGAATCACCAACCATTCTCCTAACAGCACGAGGTTCTCCAGCGGAAGAAAGAAGGCGAAAGGGCACTGCAGTATGTCCACGAACTGCAAACTTACCTGCAACAAGGCACTTTATACATACCGTGTACTGAATACGCCAGCGAAGGCGGTACCTTTCCAGTCATTGTTCAAGAGTTTCACCCTTGAACACTGCAGTATGTCCTCCCCAGTCCACAAACTGCAAACTAACTGCAACAAGGCACTTTATACATACCGTGTACTGAATATGACAGCAAAGGCGGTACCTTTCCAGTCATTGTTCAAGAGTTTTACCCTTCCTAGCTGCATTGTGCTGAACAACCTCCGCAAAGAGCAAAGAGAAGAGAAAAGGCCACACCATCTGCACACAATCTCCAAATGAACCTCGAAATCACAACTTGTGGACCTACTGCAAGAAGGCCCTGTATACGTACAGTAGTTTTTTCTATGCTATGGACAAAAAGGTGCTACCTTTCTCCAAGCATGACGCCTGCCTAGGATCTAAAACAAGCTTCTGCGATAAATGCACAAAATGAAAGATCACAACATGCTAACTACCGGCAAGAAGGCAGCGTCTACATCCGATATCTTGTGCTTGTGCTGAGAGCAGGAAAGGCGTCGCCTTTCTGCAAGATGCCGCAATAAACGCATGAAACTCAACAGCTCAGTATCTATTCAAGCATTTAGGGTCGAAAACAAGATGTTGCTAAGGAGAGAAAGACACTACCTTTTGCTCGCAAGCTCAGGTGCATCATGTTCTAGACTCGGTATCATCAAAATAGGTTACCTCAAGGGTATTATGTGTGCGACTTTACAGGCCACCACATTGTGAAAGCCGGAGCATGAGTAACTCCAGCTTGCAGAATTACATATCCTTTTCTGCTCCAGGCAAGCGATACACTAGAGTAATCGTCCACTCCCTTCTCTTTCGTGCATCCAGCAATGCACTCAAACTTTGACAAATATTTGGTTCAGATGTCGCATATGAAGCCAATAGAATTTTTGGTTCAAATTCTGAATTTTTGGTGAAGCCCACTCCATCCGTTTGAACTTCAAACTATATTTCTGTGTAGCATGTCCAAAGATTTATGAGAAGCCGAATATTTCATCCGAAAATTTTTGGTGAAATCCAACGCATAGGTTTCTACTATTGTGCATGAAGTCCAAAGATTTCGGACCTTCACTCCAAAGTCCAAACCTTTGGTTCGGTTTGGTTCAGATCCAAAGTCCAAACCTTCACTCCAAAGTCCAAACCTTTGCTTCAGAATCTCAGATCCAAATTTTCCATCGAGATTCTTGACCTTGGGTTGGGGTTTTTGACGCCTACAATACAAACCTTTGGTTCAAACTTCAAAGTCTAAAGACTCTAAACGTTTGGTCCAAAACTTCAACATTTGGACTGAATTAAAGGTTTTGCTCCAGAGTTCGAACTCTCAATTTGAATCCCGAATCTTTGGATTTGGAATTTAATGTCTATACTTTTGGCTGAGACTTTGAACCTAGGTTTCGTGCTTTCAAAGCCAAATAAATAAACTTCGTCCAAAAGTTTGAACCTTCTTGCCCAATTTGGAACCTTGAGTTCAAACTATTGCACATTGAAACCGTCGTTGAGAAGATGGGTGCAATCTCCAAGCCCATTGCTTGTGGACCGAATTTTGGACCTCCGGTTTGGACTTTCAAGATCGAACCTTTGGTTTAAAGTTTGGACCTTTGACTTCGGGTCAAACAACCATATGTATAAAGATCAAACCTTTGGTCTTTGGACTTTCAAGGTCAAACCTTTGGACTTTCAAGGTCAAACCTCTGGATTTTGGACTTTCAAGGTCAAACCTTTGGACTTTCAAGGTCAAACCTTTGGACTTTCAAGGTCAAACCTTTGGTTTTAAGTTTGGAACTTTGACTTTGGGCCAAACAACCATGTACAAAGATCAAACCTTTGGGCTTTAAAAATCAAACCTTTGGTTTGAGTTTGACGTGTCATTTCAAGGGCACTGTGTATGACATACCTGTGGCCTAAACTCTGCAGTCTGAACCTTCAGTTCGCACTTCAAAGTCCGAACCTTTTTACTCAAGTTGCCAACTTTTGGTTCAAAGTTCAAACCTTTGGGTCGAAATGCCATGTATGAAGTCTCACACCGGGGCAGATGTGTATAACGTTTGGACCTGCACAAGCCTCCTTATGATCTTGGTCGTCTTTCCTCGGTGTCGCTGTGTTGACGTTGGCACTTGGAGTTGGGTCCGGTGTGGGCGTTTTTTCCGGCGACGTCAGGTCCAAAGGGTCAGCTGGGGTGCCAAAGAAGTCGTCAGACGCCTTGAATTCTTTATTACCTTCTTCATTTATGGGTGACGACAACGGCTGAGGAGAGCCCAAACTTCCTTTGGCAGGGATCAGCGAGGACGAATACACTCTTGTTGGAGCCTCCGTCTTTGCAAGAGGGCCAAGTGCGCTAGGTCTTCCAAGACTAACAGTTCTTCGATGCTTCACTTTGAGGCTGCTGCTATGCGTTAATCGGCTGCAGCGTTTCAAGGATTCACTTTGGCTTAGCGCGGAAAAGCTGTCATTCCTCTCCCTCTTTGTACCAATTGCCACTGCTGCAAATGTATATGAAAAAAAGACGTCCGTCCACCCATCCAACCACCCACACAAAAACACAAAAAGTGAGAGACTTTCCTGTCCAAACAGTAGATTTGCAATTTCGCACTTTTAAAAGTTTTTATCGGACTCTGTTCACTAGTGCATTCAACACTTTTTTGAAGTTTTTTTACCAAACTCAGGCCTGGTGCGGGTGACGACGCAGTTCCACCAAAGATTGGATTTTTAAGTTCAAATTTTAAAAATTTCAAGCGCAAAGCCACAGACAACAGAAGTCTACAAAAACACAAAAACAAAATCTGTGCCAATGGATAAGCACACGGCACCAATTACCCCGTTACATAACTTCTGGCCATAGACCTTCATGATGAACACAATCAGAAATAAAGAATCCTGGGAGGTGGGAGCTTGCTTCCCCCCACAGAGCAGAGATAGGTTGAGGTAGACCCATAACCTTAGGATAGTCCAGCTTTACCCAGCAAGTTTAAGCTTCCTGCTTCAAGGGTAATTGTAGGTGGTTCTTAGCTGGTAGACTTACGGAAGTAGCGTAGTTCACCTGTTGCTTCTTCAGGAAAAGTTATGGGCCCATTAGGTAGGTAGCTAGCGTGAGATAGACACAAGATGGAGAGACGAAAATAGGGTAGCAAAAAAGACAGTTTGTCCCCCATATGCGAGGAAAAGACAGTGCCGTATCTGGATTGAAAGTTGCACCAAATACAGCTTTAATGACCGGGCGTTCTCTTGGGGTGAAGACGGTAGCACCATGAGAATACCCCCACCCACCCACTAACCAACCAACCAATCCGACTTCCGATCACTGCAGGCACTGTCTGTTTTTTTTTTCCAATGGTCCGATGGACCACAGATCAGATATCAAACTGATCAGAACAGATACAGTGCACTTGATCTTAGCCGAAAGGCCGAGGAAGGTATGACTGCCATCACTGTCTTGGGTGTGCGTAACTTCCCTTATTTTGGGGAGCAGCGGGAAGAGGAGGGTGTGGAACAGGGTGGGTAGGTGTAGTAGTAGTAGATAATACATGCAACATAGCAAAGCGGTGTGAGCAAGAACACACATTCAGGCAAATGAGAGAGAAAAGGGAGAAGAAGAAGAAGGGAAGAAGAAGGGAAGAAGAAGAAGAAGAAGAAGGGAAGAAGAAGAAGGGAAGAAGAAGAAGAAGAAAGGAGGAGGAGGAGGAAAAGGAGGAGGTGGAGACAAGAAGAGAAGGTGGGTCGGTGGATCATGGTGGGTGGATGACGGTGGGTCGATGATGCGGAGGAAGGAGGTTTTGGTGGGTAGGAGAAGGGATAAAGGACAAGCAGATCGGAGCCTCTTTTTTCGGAACCAAAATGACTTGTTCCAAAGAGTTGGGGTACTGCCCCAGGGCGGGCTTGGGGCCGGGCCGAATTCTTTTTTTGTCCCGTGCGGCGCCAGTGTCAACCCTGACGAGTGGGACAAACATTTTTTTCCGCATGGCCCCAGGCCCGCCGTGGGGCGAGTCCTCTAACTTTTTTAGGAATGACTCATTTTGTATTTTTATTTACTCTTTAATTTAAAGTTTGCCTGGGCGGTGTACGTGCGCGGGTTAAGTGCTTGTGCATACCTTTGTTATCCGCAGTCGCAAATGTTTTTGGCGGCGAGGATGCCTCTGCGACTTTTTCTGTCCCCAGGCTCGGCGCATGACAGTCTTTGTTACCCTCGGCGCCACCAACATTGTCGCCACCATTCTCTATGATTGTCACTGCAATGCGGATCTCGCCTCTGTTGACGTTGTCCAATTTCACCCAGAAATCGACGCGATTTCCATCCCTGAAATCAGCAAGATCAATGTTGCAATCCCCGAGTTTGTCATTTTGCTTCCACCCATCGTGATCCATCACTTCGAGAGTCAGGTGACGGGGGTGGCGAGGAGAACTCCAACTAGAGATCGGCAAGTGGAACTCTTGCTCCCACCTTGGATTCAACGTCTGTTGTATGACTTTAGTCCTCCGTTTGTGCCGACCCAACGTTACCTTCACGAAGGGGTCTGACAGGCCTGCAACAGTCGTCAGATGTCAGAACCGGAGTGTACACTGTACACCATCAAGCACGCAAAGTTGCAAACAGTAAACAAGATGCCTGATTAAACAACAATGCATAGCTTCACTCATGCGTATGCGTAGTCGATCCTGAACTTTCTCGAGCTTTCCTCGATTCTTTTCATTGCTCTGAGGGCGGGTCAGCTGAAGCCGGGTAATGGCACCGAGTTATCTCAGTTCGTTCTCTGTACTTTTTTTTTTCCCTTTTTCGTTCTGTACTTTCACAAGGGACGCTGTGCGCAGTTCGCAGCACGTGTTGCTCCCCACAGATTGGAGCATGGTCCCATGTGAGGAACGTGTCCTCAGGGCCCCCTAGACAACAGACATAGGTTCTGACTGTGGCCCCCAGCAAGCCTCGTGCCCGCCCTAAGTGAAGGCGGGCGGGCCTGAATAATCACGAGAGGTCCTTATCTCAGCATTTTCCAATGTGGGTCTCAGAAAGTTGCTGCACGCCAGTTGGTTGAAGTGCAACCTGGGCCTCACCCTGGGCTCTTCCAGAAGACGCAGCTGCGTCAGGAAGTTGAGCCCAGGACGCAGGTGGTTGCGCCCTGGGCACACGCAGCGTGAGGCCGACACATCACGAAGTGGCTACGGGCCAATGAGAATGTAGCATTGTCGTCACATCTATCCCGCAGGCCAATGCAAGCACAGCAAACATTCGGAGCCTGGATAACCCTGGGTGTGCCCAACTGTAAAGGGCCCAGGCCCTCAACTGTAGATATGGACCGGGGCGCAGATACTGGGGCCCGACCAGAAGCTACTGGAAGCCTCCACGGCCAGGCCCAGACAGACCAGCAGCTGCACATCTCCGATATAGGGAGGAGGCCTGCCAGTCTTTCGCATTGTGGCCTAGGCAGGCAATGCGGACACGCTGCTGCGATTCAGCGCAAGTGTCTGCATTGCGCTTGCTCTGGCTGGGGTCGCACGCGGGCGCTGAGAGGTGAGGGGCGCTGCAGGGCGGCGGGGCGTTAGTGGCCATAGCCGGGCTGCAGGGCGTGAGGGCAGGTGTGGGCGATGGAGGTCTTCAGGAGGAGGCGCGAGTGCGGGTGGACAGGGGATGATGAGGGGAGCCGAGAATACGTAGCTCGTGTATGTGGGAGGTCGGCATTGGGGTTGATGACATGTACATTGGTCTTCGAAGTTGAAGTGAGCCTGTTGCTGAATGTAGATAGGCTAGATAGGACAGTAGAGTCGGCTGGGCGCTGGGCGCCATACAAAGACAGAGCGACATTGAATACTGTGTTGGTGTGGCCTGAGGGCTTGGACATTGGCTCACTAGTTCATTGTTTCGCTCTTACTTGAATGGAATCTTGGTGCTTTTGAGTGTTTTTGCAACTTGGCTTTCTGTATATCGCTTTCTCTCCTTCACCCCATCCAATCGCTATCTCCCTCTCTCCCTCCCTCGTTCCCTCACTACCTTCACGAACGGGTTCAACAGGCCTGCAGTGGTCGAGAGAGGTGAGAGCAGCAGTGTCCACCATCCGCAAGCAAACAGCATATAAGATGACTTAAAAATAAAATAAAAAAATCATCTGTTGGTAGTGCTGATTAGACAGCAAGATATGATTTCATTCACTCTGTTGCTTAAGCCACCAGTACATGGCCCCAGCCAACTTGAGAAGTTGAGAGTCACGATCGAGCCTCTCCGAAAAAATCGGAGGCTCGGGGCAACTGGACCAAAATGGCTGGTGGCGCCAGCTCAAACGGAAACAAAAACGCCTCGCTGGTATTTTTGCAAAGCTTGGTCATCCACCTCATACAAAAGAGGCACGGATATACTGGTCCTCTAAGCCCTTGCTCCTTCCCTTGCTCTCCGCCACTGAGTCTTTTTTTTTTTTTTTTTTTTTTTAAGGGATAACTTGGGAAATGCGGTTCAGATACCCCAATAAGTTGAGATATATGCCAAAATGCCCCAAAAAGATGCAGGTATAGCGGAATACCCCTCTGACACAAAAAAATATTTTGCGAAATGTCCCTGGTGTCGGTTGGACCCGCCATTTCTTCCAAAATACCCCTACCGGGTACTGTCCATCTTTGCAAAATGTCCCGGTACTTGCCGACTTTTCCCAGGCCCTATTTATTTTCGTTTTACCTCTACCGCCCCAGGGTCATCTTTGCGTTTTGGCCTGTGGCCGTTGCCTCCCAAAAAGATGCACGTTGAAGAGAACGCAGGGCCATTATGATGTTTTTTTTTTGGAGCAACTCTGTCTAGATACACAGATAATGGACATGCGCTCTATTCGGAGGGAAGGCACTGTTGTTCTAGCAGTTGCACTCTGTGTGTGTGTGTGTGTGTGTGTGTGTGTGATAGATAGATAGATAGATAGATAGATAGA